ACTATTACTTACCCGGTTATCCCAGCAGATGCGAGCAATATTTCTAAGGTATCTGTGGTCAAATACTAGTAACCTACGAGTATCTTCTACTCTCAATGGCCATGTTTCGCAGCCGTAAAGTAGAACAGAGCGAACTGATGCACAGTATACTCGTCCTTTAATTGATAGACGGATATCTCGTCTTCGCCATAGGTGACGTAAGTTGGCAAAAGCCAAACGAGCTTTTTGAATCCGTGCTGAGATTTCGTCAGACACCAACCCATTAGGGCTGATCAGACTTCCAAGATAAGTGAAGTTGTCGATGCGTTCGACTACTTCACTCCCTATCCTTAGTTCAGGTGTTGACGCAGGCCAGTCCTGGAGTAACAATTTACATTTGGATGGGGAGAAACGCATCCCAAACATCCTGGCATTATTACTGAGTTCCAACAGAAGACTCTGCAGTTTGTCAGCGTCTTCACCAAACAGGACTATGTCATCTGCGTATTCTAAGTCGATAAGTGAACCTCCTGGTAGAAGATCAATTACTGAAAATTCAGTCAAAGAGAGTGTTATTTCCAGCAACAGGTCTATAATGAAGTTAAATAAAAATGGGGATAGTGAACAGCCTAGTCGGACACCACTTGAGGTTGTAAAATCATATGACAGTTCGCCATAAGCTCTCACTCGACTGGTAGTGTTCGAGTAAAGAGCCTTCACAAGGTTTATGTACTTCTCAGGTACACCTTTCAATGACAGACACTGCCACAGAACCTCTCGGTCTACAGAGTCAAACGCTGCTTTCAAGTCAAGAAAAACTATCATTGTCGGACGCCGATAAGCATGTCTGTGCTCTAAAACTTGACGAATGGTGAATATGTGGTCGATACAGCCACAACTAGGTCTGAAGCCAACCTGATTTTCTCGTGTTTGGAATTCACGAGTCTTAGTTAGGCGCCCGATAATTATTGAGGCTAGTATTTTAGATGCTATGTTAGTCAGACTAATCCCTCTATGGTTATGGCAGGATGATTTTGACCCCTTCTTATATATTGGGACAATCAGAGATTGTGATCAGTCAGGTGGGATTACGTCCAACTCCCAGATTTTAGCCAGAATATTAGTCAACCTAATCGCTAAAATTGGACCACCATATTTGCATACCTCTGGAGCCAATCCATCTGGACCAGCTGCTCTTCCTCGTTTCAGATTACTTATAGCCTTTTGAACTTCAAGTAGGGTCGGGGGGCCTACTTCAATGTTCCATTCAGGTTTTCTGGGAATAGTGCGTAGTTGTGCAGTAGCTGAAGGCCATCTAAACTGCTCCTTAAAGTGTTCCACCCATCGTTCTAAACGGTTGGGTTGAGAGTAGATAAGGGTTCCGTCTTTTTCCGAGATTGTCTCACTTACACTTGACTTCTTAATTCCGGTTTCTTTTATTAGTCTGAATAGTTGCCTATAGCCACTCCCTTTTCCATCTCTTTTGCTTTCGTTGCCCACCACTGCTCACGATCGTTCCTTAGAATTTTAGTTAACCTAGATCTAATTTGTTTACGCTATTCGTCGTGTTCAGAGCCTGATGGGATGAGTTTACGCGAATCCATCAGTGAAATAGCCTTAGAAGAGATTCACTGGTTTTTTGGAGCCTTATGGTTTAAATAGCTAATAGATGTTACTGCTGTTTCCACAGCTGTTCGTATGTCTTTCCAAGCAGCATCTGTGTCAGTCTTGTTTACAGAACTGCCTAGATGTGAAATCAGTTGTTTCTGGAATTCGCATTTGGCTTTCTCGTCCTCCAGTTCAATCCTAATGGGTCTTCTTAGTGTACTTTTCCTGCGTCCATTGGGGCGCAGACAAATGCGCGCTCGTATTAAAGCGTGATTAGAGTCTAAACAAGTATTCCAAAACGAGCGACAATCTTCGAATGAGCCTCTCCAACGATGACTGATGACAATATGGTCTATTTGAGTCCATCGTTGGTTTAGTGCAGGTGGTCGCCATGTTAAACTATGTCTCTCCTTATGCTTAAAATTAGTGTTTGCTAAAAGTAAACGATTGTCTGAGCATAGTTGCAACAGACGATCACCATTATCGGTTCGTTGAGCCGGAATACTAAAACACCCACCTAAATGTCTTTCTGTTTGATTTAAGCTGCCTACCTGGGCATTAAAGTCACCCGCTACGACTACTATGTCTGAGCGCTTAGCTTTCTGAAGAAGCTCAGAGAGATTTCTGTAAAAGTCATCTTTTACTTCATCATGACTGCAGTCAGTGGGAGCGTAGGCAGAAACGATGAAAAGGCAACGATGTGAGTCCCTATCCTTCCGAGTTCTTACGGAGCCATTTAGCCGGACAGCACACAGGCGACTTTTAACGGGGATCCATTCTAATAGTGCCTGTTCTGCCCTTGTACTTAGTGCTATACCTACACCTGCAAGTCCACGAGAACTAACCGACGGGTCGCCAGATACACGGAGGGTGTATTTCGTTGGCCGTCTATTTTGGCGAGGTGAGGTCAAGTGAATGACCACACTGAGATCCTGTATGCGTGTTTCGGAGACACAGCATACATCAATGGTACGAGATTCTAGGGTCTTAGCCAAGGAGGCTTGTTGACCGATTTGACTTAAAGTACGTATGTTGAAGGCTCAAATGTGTAGTTTAGAGCGAGGTTTTAGTAGACCTGAGACAGCGTTTCGCGCACTAGAATCGTTGGCCATGGTGACACTTGAGGAGGAAGTTTAGTGATGAAAGTCAAGGTAGAAGGAATAGTAGGAATTGAAGAAGGAGATTGATTATGAATACATTGGTCTTGAGTGCTGTTAGAGGTATGAGGGCAGTTATCACTTCCCGGCTGCCCACACCGTGGAAGGGTTCTTCTAGAGGTACCTGAAAACGAAATTGGTTTAGAAGTGGTCTTAATGACCTGAGAGCGTGACCGCAGTGCCCAAGGTACAACTGCTTGAGGTCGGTCACACACAACAGTTTTGTGGGTAGTTTTTGTGTTAGCTCCGTTCTTCAAAGGACCTTACCACCGGAGACGGAAATCCGTGGGATAAGGCAAGGTGTGCATTTTTAGGGTCGACCTTTTCTAACCCCACCCCTCCTTGTGGGAAGGCAGCATCGCTGTCATGCCGGTTGTCTGAAGGAAACACCTTACTGCTGTCACACCTCTGTACTGTCAGCAGTACAACTTTGCCTTCGGTTTGCTGCTTTTAGTCTCACCGCTCTTCAAACAACCTGCCTGGCATGGTAGGACCTTGAGGAACGATTACTCCAGCCAGTATAGCTCGATTGAATCATCACGATAGGCAAGCCCGACCACCACGTCAAGGTAGCAGCAACGGTCGTGTAATTGACCGTTCAAAATAAACCTATTTTTCATTCAAAAGTAGAAATATCGCTAGGAACACTAATATTAATTAACCGATCCAATTTTTAACTTCATATAAATTAATGCTGTATTTATTTGACATCTCTTATTTCAAATTTAATAGCCCTTATATTACTGCGTATTCCAGTAAAACGGCTTATGACTTAATTACTATCCAGAAGAGATAAACTTTCTTCATTGTTGTTTGTACAACATTGACTTTAAATAAAAACTTTAAACAGTTTTCCTAAAAGTCAACCCAGTCATTTTACTCTGTAAGTTAATCACCTCTTACAAAGCAATTAAATAGTAGTTTCACTGGACATATTTTCCAACTGACTGAGTTATCTTACAACTACAATAATTCACTTGCCAAGCAGTGCTGAAGGACTGGAACAATGAATGAGTGGACTACTCAGTTTTCGTGGTGTCATTCTGTAGATATTGTTCACATAGCCAGCCCTTGTAATTAGGGCTATGCCTACACCTGTAGTAGTACACATCATATCCAACTGATAGTTCGTAGTTAAACATGAATATGTACACCTTTCGTGCAAAATAGCTTTGTATTTCGAAGCATAGTTAATAACTCTAACACTAACCAAACAAAACGTCTCCAAAGTTCACTGGCATTCTTTGGATCCTTTTGACAAATCCTAATGATAATTAGATTGAATTAACTATGAATCACAAGAACTCTTTTTAGAATAACTACGAGTAATAACCATATCCCAGCAACTTCAATGTTTTAAGCACTTAGTTATGGAGTTTTGAAGAAGACAAATACACAGCTGACATTATAGTTCTTTGGACAAGTAACGAAATGTTCGTCAACTGAATTCAGCCATGAAAGAAACCCATTAAAAAAGATGACTACTTCAGACTTAATAAATTTGGAGACCATAAATGAATCTTAAAGAAAAAGAATAGAACGCACTAGTCCATGTTTATTATCTACATTCCTATGATTGAAATGCTGAAAATGGTACATTCGATTCGCATTATCAATTAATGAAGCTCAGCCCTACTCAATCGCACCAATTCGTTCTTCATGGGATGTTTAATTTCGGAAATGAAAACAAGTTATTGAAACACCACTATTTTATCATTTATTCACAGAAATGAATTCCTATTTACTTATTATTAGTTGAGGCTCACAGAAAAAACATAACTTAAAAAAGTCACGCGAATAGTGGGAACTAATATCAGATAATAATCATGAGCATGAACAACATAGTTACAGAAAGCTGTCTAGCACATTAGATAGATTAAAGAAAATGATGTAAGAAATAAGTAGTATATCACGGATCCTTAGGAGAAAAAGCACAAGTTTTTTTTTGAATTCATGTGTCTAGTCGTATTTCTCTGAGCTGCAGTAAAAAATTAGCTAGGGCATGAATATGCTCACTTATGTATATAAATACATATTTAAGTATTAATTCTATGAAATATTATGCAGAGGAGAAAACCCTACACCTTTGGTTAGAGAATCTTCAAAAAGTAAACTGTGATGATTAACCATATTAGATCTTGTATTTGAGTTTCGAAAGTAATATGCAATTGTGTAACGAAATGACAAAATTTTTGGTTACAGAGACCTTCATTTGATTAAGATCTGTAAAGTATTAAACAAGAGAACTGCATTTTATACAAGATTTATATTTTAGTCAATCAGGTTTTTCAACAGATTAGTGTGTTGTAGATTAAGATTAATCAATAAACCCAGGAACTGAACAAAAATGATAAGATTTACAGAAATGCTAGAAGATCAGGTTAAGAAGTAACGTCAGAAAAAACGATTATATACAAAGAAACAATCCACGAGTAGTTACTCTAATTCGTGGAATCTGGCAAACATTGCTCGCTTAACGTTATCTTTATAATTGTCTGACTGAGGTCCTCTTTTTGATGTTTTGATTCCAAGACCAACACCAGCTTCTCTAAATTCAGCTTCAACTATTTGAGTCCGTCCTTGATTACTTCGGCCAAGACCTTGACCAGCTTGCCAGCCCATTTTTTCCATAAGCCGACTCCCGACGTTGGGAGCTAAAAAAAATTTATGAGAATTAGATTCAGTGAAGTAACATGGTTGTTATGAAAAGCATCTTCATAGGTTTCTGAAATTTACGTTAGACAGAACCATTTTTGTACAAAATGACAAAGAAATGGAAATATTCTAGACTATAAGGATATAAACAATCGAAAGGAAAATAATAAATATATGCAAATAAACAAAAGATAATTTTAAATGGTCCACTCCTAATTCCAAGTCTCTTAACTATCTTAAAACATTTTTATTTCATGAACACATAGTTTTTTCTTGAATCACATCTTTGATGCCTATTGATTCTTCCTATCATTAATACTTTTAGTACATGTACTACTCTAGCATTTTGCTGTGCTGGTTGATGTGGTGTAGCGAATTCAGCCGATAAACATGTGTCAAATTCTTCGTTATGTATGACTGACTGAATGAGTTTGTCGTATAAGCTAACAACTAACTAAAAAAGTTTCCATAAATAAACCAACTTCGTAAATTAGGTGAATATAGCTAACTCTTCAAAAACAAATTTTATAAGAAACCCTCTGGTACTAATTCAATGATGACTATTATGAATTCATATATTCGTTTCCTTATACAAACGAAATCATTTTTTGACCATAAAAATACTGAAGACGTTTTACACCTTTCACTGAAAATGTGATAGCGGAAAATTCAAAAATAAAATGAACAGTTTATCAGACATAAAACTATTGAAATCCATAAACTGGATTACATATGTTGCCTACTATTTTAAAATAAATTACTACACACGACCACATAAACTTACCTACCCCTTACGCCTTAGTTTTATTGGACAAAAAGACACCAAACACAATAGCCTCATATAGTACGTTGGGACAAAGAAAACTAAGTCATTACCTTAAAGTTGGTGTAACGATGAGAGGCATTTGTAACATAAAATTCTGACCACCGGAATGCTTTATACTTCACATTATATAGCACAGTCTTCGACGCATTGGTTCTTGATATAATTTGAGCAGTTGATGCATTTCAGGAGAGGTAATTTTACCAGACTTAGGTCATGAGGGTGACAATTTGTGCTATTAGTAAACCTTTAATAACAACTAAGTTTAAAACCTGCACAACACAAGTTAAATTTGAAATTAATTTTCATAAAATCACTATTATAAAGGGTTGATAAAAAGTAGTTCCTATACAGCATATGTATTTGGTGCTCCTTTGTACCAATATGTATGTGTTTAAATAAATAAATAAACACAGCAACTAGCTAATACCTGATTAGGTATTACAAACGAATAACTAAAAACCTTGCTTGAAACTTAGTCTTAATGATCGAAAACTAAGGTAACTAAACTTGCGCATACCTGACTGGGGTGGAGGTGGAATTGGTGGGAGTGGAGGAACGAATGAGTCTTGTTCTATCTGTATGACTGACGGTTGACTTTCAACAGACTTCATTCTAGGTGGCGACGGTATCCCATACTTTTCACGACGCTCTTTGGCTCGATCACGATATTGACCGGATGCGCTTGGCCGACTACTAACTTGTCTAGATGCTACTGATTTCGCATGATTACTGGCCGTTTGAGCACCAATCTGCATTAACGATGCTATTGAAAGAGAATTTTTAGGTGAATTAACAGCTGTTGAAGCTTCTTGATTTTGTACAGGGGTTGGAACAGGAATTGCTGGTAAACCATATTTTCCGCGTAATTTATTCAAATTTTCATAATGGAGGCCAGAAAATGCTCTATGTTTTTGAAGAGTTGCCGCATCTTTGAAACCGCGGGAGCACAACATACAAGCAAGCTTGGCCCAATCCAAAAGTCTAGAATTAAAAACGAATAATTGACTATGATCATATTTTAAACGCAAAGAGCAAATAACTTTTTTAATTATGGAACACTTATTTAACAGGTGGAAAAAGTAAATTAGATGTTATAAATAAAGAATTCTTTAATAAATTAGGACTACATCATTATCAACATTTTCCAAAGGTTGGAATAGTCAGATATGTAATCAGTTAATTATGGCCATTCCCTACTTACACCATAGATTAATAAACGTATGGATATGCAGGATACATAAACTCACTTGTTTTCTTCTTCAGAAACTTTTGTTTCAGCTTCAGCATCGAATGACAACAATGAATCTTGTTTTTCACTATGTGTCTCATCCTGGCCAGAGTCGTCACTATCTTCAACACCGCCATATTCTGCAACCAAACTGGCAGATTCAGGTGTGTGTGAGTCACTTGTAAGTGGATTGTTAGCAGACGCCTCCAAGATTGCGTACCCTGTGTCTGCTGTTCTACTGGCTTCAGACTAAAATAAACGGAGTATAAACTACTGAGTAAACTCCTTTATGAAAAAATTAAAAATGAAATAGTTTATGGAAATTAGAAATTTAAGAGGCAAATGCGTCTCCACAGTTCAGATCCAAATTGTATTAGAAGTTTCAGACAGCATAAAACAAGACCAAGGTATTCAGTACAGCACCTCCAGCTACTTGTCTTAAAACATGATCATAGTTTTCCGAATATAAAAATTAATCACAAAGGAAAAACGGAATAGGAATTCTCAGGTATCGCTCTTTAAAAACCAACAGGATAACAAGGAGAATAATAAGACTCCAACAAATAAATTATAGTCGAGAATAGCAACATTGTCAAAATTAAATGTAGGAAAACTACTAGCATATCACAAATAACAGTAATAAATTAGACAAACTAGCATTAGTCGGTCCATCAAGACACTCAAATTTGGGTCCTGGAAATAGTATGACTCAGTGGCTTGAGACGTATCCAGGGATTATTCCGAACAGGAATTAATTAACGTCTTTTCGTAGATCTTGCTTTCTTCACAAAACTGAGGGGAACGTTCTTAACTGAATGCACGCCATTCTTGGCCATATTTTTAACTTAACTGCATCTATAATCATAAACTTATCTCGTTTACTTATTTTTAAACACTAGACTAAACTCCCTTCTTTCCAAATGTTGATTCATGATTCCATTTTCTTGCTCATGTGGAGTATATTTATTTTGGTGACCATTATTTGTTGCAAATAATTAAAAAAATACGGTGTCACAAAAATTAGTAATTCTACAAAAATCTGTTAGGACTTTCTATCACATGAACATGAACAGATGTGTAATTATTTTATGTAAACTCACTGTTATCACATCAGAGCGTTGTCCGACACTGGATGATGCTTTTTTCTGAGCATTCATCTTCTTAGCCCACTTTTCCATTTCTCGTGCAATCTGTTGAGCTGTTTTACCACGATCATCCTAAAACGCAGAGAAGGATAAAATTTAGTTTCCTACACACTACTTTTAGGATTACTTGTTATTTTTTTCTACCTGGGACCTTTAGTGTGTTTATGTAAAACGCTAAAAATATGAAACGACGAGCTAAAACGTCAAATCTTAAGCTGCTTTCAAGTTTTAATTTGATATACATGAGACTTAAGAATACGTAAAGAATACGAAAATTAGGATTGAACTTACTTTGTTTTTAGGAGCATCTGATGTATCGGTTTGAGAGTTGGAAGCCGCATTATCGACGGAATTGGATTGAGGATTTGTTTGTGGTACAGGAAGATATGTACTCTTCGTTTGATCCCAGTAATAATATTGCTGACTTCCGCGGTCATAGAAGTATTTTGAGTTAGGTTCATACATTAGACCAGTGACAGGATCATAGTAAAAGCGAGTAGACTCATCGTATATGTACTTAGATGTGTCCGGAAATGCTGTGATAAAAATTTTAGACAGTTTATTTGTTAGTAAACTTCACAAGTGTTCGTTCTCAATCGACTTTTGTTGTACCAAAAAGCCTATATCTTTCCTAATGATAATTATATTTCTCTTATTATGTTGATTGTGTAACACAAGTGAAACCAACACGATTGTGCATCAAAATATACGTTGTCTTCTGTATTAATTAGCTAAATATATAACAGTGAGTTGTTTGGGGGCTTATTTACACTATATCACGTGCATATTAACTTTAATAGCAATAACTAGTGTCATGATGTCAAAAACGAGATGTTCGATACAACTTACTGCAAAAATTTTATGACAGGATGTAAAGACTCTGTCAATTATTTTCGGAGGAATGCTGATTGATTAACCAATCCAATATGAGCTGAGTATCATCACTATCTACTTAAGTTTAATTTAGAATACATATTGAAATTAATCGTCAAAATAAAAAACAGCAACTGCAACATACTAACGACATAAATGACTACGATGTGATGAATGGTTTGCGCCAATTTAAAAGACAGTTTACCTAAGCCTACGTGGTTGTGGAAATAATTTAGTTGTGGTTAGGTATGTTATGAACACGTTTAGTTGTTAAAGTAATGAGTAGAATGCTGACCGACCGGATCGGACAAGATATAATCGACTGATAAGCACAATAAAACTGACGGATAAATAAAGCTTTTCATAGTAAAGTAACACGTTTACAAAATATAAACATAACCGCATAATATTTACGCTTTTCTGGTGAGTGTTAACTAGGGCGAAACCAAAGTCCAAGGGATCCTATCAACCGCCCAAAACCAGGAAAAGGTTCATGGGATGTCAAATATCTTAGACTAGAAGCTATATTTCAACTCCACTGAGAGAATCCGCTCAACACCAAGGGTCAGAAAAGCATGATACTGGCTATTACTTAGTGGTTAATCAACGTGAAAAAGGAACAAAATTATGATGACGTTTTTTATACCACTTAATAATCAGTAAAATTATAACCCAAGTATTAGTTTTATTTCTTCTATATCTTGATAAACTGAGAAACTTTACAGACCTCGAATCAGTAAACCAATAAATCTACCAAGTTAAGGTATTTAGGAAAACTGACCTAATTGAATACGTTAACCTATAAATATACGAAAAATGACTTATCAAGACTGCAAACAGACCACAATATGGGGCTTGACACTGATTTGGCAATAACATTTGAATAATAAACTACCAAATGCAAAATACAATAATATACAATAACATATACTTCGGTATTTGAATCAAGTACAAAGCAAATGGTTGATGCTAATAACACAAACAACAAATCGCAAAGGTCGAAACCTAGTTTTCGTTAATCATAATTATTTTCCAAAATATTAGGTAATATAGCCTTACGATATGTAGTCGTAGATGCCGTCACAGCATTGAACGGGAACGAAGGAGGTGGGAGCTGCTGACCAGATGCCACGAGTGCTGCCATAGACGGTGCATAGTTAGACGAGACAGTATGTTCCGAATGGTTACGCAAAGATTTCGTCAGAGCTGATAACACATGTTGTTCAGTTTGTTTTTGTTGTATCGCTGCCTGGGCAACAGCAGCACCATTGTTCGAAGTTTGACTCAGTAATGCTGATGCAGCAACAGCATTCATTGCAACAGTATCAGGTGATATGTTATTATTTTGTGCGGCCATAGCTGCATGCGCTAAATCCAGAGCCAAGTTGCGACTACTATTTAACTGGGCGTTATATGATCCTTCCGTTTTTAGTGTTGCCATAATAGTACTTTAAAAGATGATAATGGAAAAGTGGAATGGCATATGATGAGTAAAAAAGATGTTTGAATCAGCAGCACTTTGAATGCGTCAAAAAACCTACGCACATTGCTTTACTATATTGTACGACCGCACTAATCTAAAAAAAACTTGAGTCAATTTATGGTTCAGCATTCAAGAATCGAATTAAACGTGACAACTTAAGTATGTTTAGTAATAAGACCGGGTGAAACAATTACCTGATAAGACTTATAGAAAATTTGATTTTAACCAGTTTCAACGACTGACAAATATTAATTTAACTTGTAATGGTTTAAATTATCCCGTCATTGAGATTTCGACTGAAATCTGATCAGCCTTCAATGATATGCGCATACCGCATAGGTTGCATATATATGTTCAAGTAGAGTAAATGGAATGTGGCTGATAGTGGGATTCACGACGCATGCTTCCACCTGTTTGAGACTAATTATTTGGATGTACCTAGATTTCAGAATTGGAGCCAAAAGAACCGGGCTCAGGTTCTGGAGTGAACATAGACTCTGAGATCTAGATACAAACAGATGAGTCTCAGGCAAAAGAAAACGTGAATCGTCGACTCAACTGCTAGCCAAATTTCATCTATTCTATACAAGATTGTCAAACGGTTTTGACTTAGCAAGAGTTGCAATGTAAAGTAAATGCTATTTTAAGAAGTATTGTTTAGAGATAAGTAGCATATAGTGTCCACATCTTGATAGGCATTCAGACCTTAATCATTTATAAATGTGAGACATTCATACTTGATATATGAATCCTAAAATTACGATATCAGACTATCCAATACCTTAACATTTTGTAGGATGGAAACAGAAAGAGGAAATAAACTATTATGATACTCATCGTTAATCATAAACTTTTCTAGATGGTTAAAAGCATACATTAACTACGCCAGTAGCTCCTCTGGGGGTTACTGCCGGTCCCAAGCCCGGGTAAAGGAGGAGGGTTAGGCATGGGGTTAGCGACCCCATCCTGTAGAAAATCAACTCGCTAAAAAAACGCTAACCAGAGAAAATCATTCAAACCATTCAAACTCTGCCCTGGAAGTACAAGGAATAATTATGACGTCTCATGATGAAAGCCGAGTTCATTCGGAAGTCATGAGGCCGATGCACCTTCTTCCAACCAGAGCGACAATTTTTATAGGTACATGGAATGTCCGGACAATGTAGGAGACCGGAAGAGTCTTCCAAATTGCTGCAGAAATGAGAAAATACAACCTGGAAGTGCTTGGAATCAGCGAAACACATTGGACGCAGGTTGGACAACAACGACTGTCTTCAGGGGAATTTCTGTTATACTCCGGTCATGAAGAAGAAAACACCCCACATACACAAGGAGATGCATTGATGCTGTCCAGAAAAGTACAAAATGCACTCATAGGATGGGAATCTCATGGACCAAAGATCATCAAAGCCTCTTTCAAAACAAAGAGAGAGGGCATTACAATGAACGTCATCCAATGCTACGACAGGTTGCAGTCGATCTTCGAGAAGTGCCCAACCAAGGACCTGACCATTCTGATGGGAGATTTCAATGCCAAGGTTGGAAAGGACAACACTGGATACGAAGACGTCATGGGACAACATCGACTGGGAAAAAGGAACGAAAGTGGTGAAAGATTCGCAAACCTATGTGCCTTCAATAAACTGGTCATAGGTGGCACCATATTCCCACACAAAAACATACACAAAGCCACTTGGATTTCACCGGATCACACTACACAGAATCAAATCGACAATATCTGCATCAACAAAAAGTTCAGGAGGACGATGGAGGATGTGAGAACCATGAGAGGGGCTGATATAGCATCCGATCACCATTTGCTGGTCGCCAAGATGAAACTAAAACTCAAGAAGCACTGGACAACGGCGCAAACAACATCACAAAAGTTTAATACGGCCTTTCTTTGAGATGCTGACAAACTCAACAAATTCAACATAACCTTCAGCAACAGGTTCGAGGCCTTTCATGATCTACTCAATGGAGAGCAACTGGAAAGGTATCAAGGAGGCAGTCGTTTCAAAATGTCAAGAGGTTCTGGGCCAAAAGAAGCACCATCATAAGGAATGGATCACTGTTGGTACACTGGATAAAATTGAAGAAAGGAGGAACAAGAAGGCAGAAATCAATATCAGCCGAACCAGAGCGGAAAAAGCCAAGGCACAAGCCGAATACACAGAGGCAAACAAGCAAGTGAAGAGGAGCATCAGAACCGACAAACGTAAATATGTGGAAGATTTAGCAACGACAGCGGAAAAGGCTGCAAGAGAAGGAAACATGAGACAATTGTATGATGCAACAAAGAAACTTGCTGGAAATTACCGTCAACCAGAAAGACCAGTGAAAAGCAAGGAAGGCAAAGTAATCACCGACATTGAAGAACAACGAAACAGGTGGGTAGAACACTTCAAAGAACTCTTGAATCGACCAGCTCCACTGAACCCACCCAACATCGAAGCAGCACTCACAGACCTCTCAATCAATGTTGGCTCTCCAACAGTTGAAGAGATCAGCATGGCCATTAGACAAATCAAGAGCGGCAATGCAGCGGGACCAGACAACATCCCGGCAGAGGCACTGAAGGCAAACGTAGCAGCAACTGCCAAGATACTCCACATCCTCTTCAGTAAGATTTGGGACAAAGAACAAGTACCAACAGACTGGAAAGAAGGACTTCTCATCAAGATACCAAAGAAAGGCGATCTCAGCAAGTGCGATAACTACAGCGGCATCACTCTTCTCTCAATACCAGGAAAAGTCTTCAACAGAGTATTGTTAAAAAGGATGAAGGATTCCGTGGACGCCCAACTTCGAGATCAACAAGCTGGATTTCGTAAGGATAGATCGTGCACAGATCAAATCGCAACTCTACGTATCATTGTGGAACAATCAATCGAATGGAATTCATCACTCTACATCAACTTCATCGACTACGAGAAGGCATTTGATAGTGTGGACAGGACGACACTATGGAGGCTTCTTCGACACTACGGCGTGCCTGAGAAGATAGTCAATACCATACGGAACTCCTATGATGGACTAAACTGCCAAATCGTCCACGGAGGACAGCTCACCGACTCGTTTGAAGTAAAGACCGGTGTAAGGCAAGGTTGCTTACTCTCACCCTTTCTCTTTCTCCTGGTGATCGACTGGATCATGAAGACGTCAACATTTGGAGGAATGCACGGGATACAGTGGACAGGCAGGATGCAGCTTGACGATTGAGACTTCGCGGATGATCTGGCTCTTCTATCACAAACGCAACAACAAATGCAGGAGAAAACGACCAGTGTAACAGCAGTAGGTCTTAATATAAACAAAGAGAAAAGCAAGACTCTCCGATACAATACAATATGCACCAATCAAATTACACTTGATGGAGAAGCTTTGGAAGATGTCGAAACCTTTACATATCTGGGCAGCATCGTTGATGAACACGGTGGATCGGATGCAGATGTGAGGGCGCGGATAAGCAAAGCAAGAGCAGCATACCTACAACTGAAAAACATCTGGAGCTCAAAACAATTGTCAACCAACACCAAGGTTAGAATTTTCAATACAAATGTCAAGACAGTTCTACTGTATGGGGCGGAGATGTGGAGAACTACAAAATCCATTATCCAGAAGATACAAGTATTTATTAACAGCTGTCTACGCAAGATACTTCGGATCAGATGGCCAGACACTTTCAGCAACAAGTTACTGTGGGAGACAACAAACCAGATTCCAGCGGAGGAAGAAATCAGGAGGAAGCGCTGGAAGTGGATTGGGCACACTTTGAGGAAATCACCTAATTGTGTCACAAGACAAGCCCTCACATGGAATCCCGAAGGTCAAAGGAGAAGAGGAAGACCAAAGAACACATTACGCCGAGAAATAGAGACAGACATGAGAAGAATGAACAAGAACTGGATAGAACTAGAAAAGAAGGCCCAGGACAAAGTGGGTTGGAGAAAGCTGGTCGGCGGCCTATGCTCCATTGGGAGTAACAGGCGTAAGCAAGTAAAAGCATACATTGAGTTATTTCTAAATGTACACAAATATGAACGACTTGCATTATGTTAACTCTTAACTTCCTTACTTCTAGCGAAGATTAGAACTTATTTGCAACTGAACACCCTGAACATAAGCAACTATTAGTATATTCCTGTAAAGTTAAGTATGAAGTACAGTTTAATAGGCCAAGCACTGTTGAAAGAATCGTCAACAACAAAATCCATATACGTTCTGCTAAAGGATCTAAAAATCAAGCGTTATGAGCTTTAGTGTCGTGGTATAAAGAATCTGTACAGGACTGGCTTTTATCGGTCCTTTGAGACTCCCTGCCTGGGGTTCTAGGGATGGTGCCACACAGTGGCTCGAGACGTTATCAGACAAAGCCCAGAATACAAGCCAGTGTAGATCCTGCTGTAACTTTGCTTTCTTCGTAAAAGTGAGAGTAACTTTTTTAACTGAAATTCTTTCTGGTTGTATTATTCCTAGCTGAACTGCTCCTCTCATTATTGTTTGACTCTCGTACACTAGTTTCTATTTACTGTTGTTCTTTCTTATTACATCCACCTTCCTATCTCTACCACTTTACAACCTTATTTTTGTGGCGCATCTATATTTTGATGTTCATTGGTACCAATATCTATGTGTTCAAATAAATAAATCTGAGCTTGACCGACAATCACTATTAGAAATCTTACCAAAAGCGCGCATGCGAAAAATGTTTGCTTATCTTTTCAGGAAGCCTATAATCCAATGAAGACTAAATAATTCAGTTGAGAATATCAGCAGCAGGAAAACGAGATCACTGAGGTTAATAAACAATACTGTTTACTACAAATTTGGGTTTTAATTTTGTATCCCTGGCTATCCAAGTGTATCACTAAGTGATGAGTAGTGGTGTTTCTGTTCACGGTTAGTTGCCTTATGAGCGTGGTTTCTTTAAATTTATTTCTTTAAGCAATTTACTAGAAGAATGGTATTTATACATATAGACTGGAATGTAGTCCTAGAACCAAAATTAGACTAAGTAAAATACTACATTTAAGAGAAAACTACGTAGTAGTAAGGCAAGGTGATTTTTTATACCCGGAGAATGAATATCATGCTCAATCAGAAACTCATTTTCACTACTTATGTTTGATACATTTGTCACAACCAACATGTACCCGAATAGAATTATTAACTTAGCCTCATAAAAGCGGAAATCCATATGACTACAGAAGTGAATGCAAGTCATTTCCAATTAATGGAAACCTGAGAAATGTTATGGCTGACCGAAATCAGTATTATTGTGACCTCTCATAGTTATTAATAATAATCATTTTTAGTGTGGTAACGTAATCTACACCTGTTTTTCCTCGTGTAATTGTTTTTTTCTTTAAACAAAGGCACTTTTGAAAACCCCGTCTTTTTCTGTATTCTTCATTCATTGACAGTTACCATAGTTGAGACGTCGTGTAGTAGCATTCGATCCATCTATTCCGCATTAGACAGGCCTTTGTATTAGAAATCTTTTAATAATCCTCACTCTGTATCCCAACAATATCTAAGCCTTAACAGGGGAGTGCCGACTCACAACCGATAACTTAAAAATATAACCTAATTGCAGCAGAATAAGAACAATCAAAAAAGCATTTAGCTTCATGCTGAACGAGCGTGACTATAGATATCAGAAACAGAAATCTGGACACGATGTTGAGTGGCAACATTCTTGAACTTCGTTAAACTAAACTTATTCCGACTCATACACGTATAGATCTAAGAACCGGAGCTTTGGTTCACACTTGCCATAAGGTTTAAAGAGATGCTACCCACTTGCGAAAAAATGTAGGCAGAACAACGATTAGACTTGAGGCACAACAGTTGAAATCCAAATAGTTAAATTACTGGACTACTCTACTGCTGACAAAATCGGGGTTATAAAGTAAAACAAGCGCCGAGACCAATTATTGCTTGTTAGATAGGAAACACTTCATGAACGTCAGGCAAATATCAGACTAACTTGAAAGTGTTCTTTGCGTACGAGACTGTTACTGCTTTTCCTCCGACCTCAAAAAGCTTGAATTCTTTGTTCACTATATCCATGACTTTGTAAGCATCGGCAACCGTGGGAAGCTCCGCAAAAGCAAAGCACCTGGAAGCATGTGTTACTTCATCTCTCATTACATGACACTGCCGCACCTTTACGTCGGCCGTATCTTGAAAAACCTGGCAAATGTCATCTTCCGTAGTTAGTGCATCCAAGCATCTCAAGACGAGAGCTGAAAATCCAAAATATTTATTCAGTGATATTTCAAACAATAAATAAATCATAAATAGCACGAAACATTAAAAAAACAAGTGTTATGAAAAGCAAAAACTTTTTTGTCATACTGTATCTAGGCTTTGAGTGTGTCACTGATTCACGTCGAAACCTGCCAATATGGTTTTCAGGTGCGGGTAAATTAAATGCAAACGAATAGCTACTTCTTAATTGACACAAATTGACTATCATTATTACTATGATAATCTCAAACTGCAGGTATAAGAATTCCATTTGATTATTTAGATAACAGGAAGTATCTCTAGAAAAATATTTATATGGTTAGTCCTAAACACATTTTTTCTCTTTAAGCAGCATTGTCCAGTAAAGAAAACTTTAAGCAAGCATATATAGACTTATTCCATCAGTGATAATCACTTCGTTTAGTGACCTACCGATCTTGTAGTGGTTTACTTTGATGTTACTAAGCTATATTTCACAATCAAAAAGTGGGACTGAATGTTCGTTCTCTATGAGCAGAACAGTAACTACACACAATAATGATATCTTTTGTACATCAGTTCGTGAAGTTAGACAAAATGCTATTTTCCCTAGGAACATATCTGTGATGGCGGTACCGTCACTCTTCACTTCTAGATCTGAACGAAGACCAATAAACTCCGAAGAACATCCCAACTGGCCTTTCCTCGATTGCTAGTCACCGATAGTATTAATGGGTCATGTATTGAAAAACACCGTAACTAAAGTGGATCAAAAAGAGCAGTAGGACCTTACAGGTTAACTTATAAAGGTATTTGAAAACGTTGGTTTTACATAATCGTCAAAATCCAATGATATATTAGGCAAAGCGTGGGATTCCTCCACACAGTGACGACGGATATTTTTGGTGAAAACTGTGAGTCAAACCTTATATAGAATGACTCGAAACCATTCGCTGGGACGGAGATGTATTCATTATTTTCTCTTTCCATAAACCTTAGGTTTTAGTATTTCATCTCCTAATTGGGTCATATTGTGTCTAATTTTTGTTACAACTATAAACACTACTACTGCGGCATGTTACTTATGTCGGTAGATATAATTAGTATGTAACGCCTATCGGAAATTGAAAACCTGGTAGCAGAAGGCTATGAAGGTCGGCTTGAAGAAAACAGAAACGGAACTAGGAAGGAATTGTGAATCGAAAGAATTATATAGAATGTGAAGGGCAAATTATGGAAGATTGCAGATGAAGTATTCAACGTATGGTTCTCACATGTTGCCGAGAGATTCTGTAACTTTGTATTGAAAAACATTGGTTGTCCCCACTTGAGTTCTTGTTCATTACAGTACTACGTCGACTCTTATCATACATTCAGTTAAATTCACCTCATTCTGATGTGGAAAACAGATGTATATTTGTACGACATTTATTTATGACTTACTTATCGATCGACATCTTAAAACATTGAGTATATTTTTAAAACTTTTGAAATGAGAGGATGAAAGGAGCCTTCATGCACTAATATGATGAGGTAGTGAGGAATGATTGAGAGGTTGATGTACCCGGCTAGTTTGCGTGAGTGATGGAGACATACGAGATCGATCCACATGTAGTGAAGGACGAAGAGAGTTATAATGACTATCGGAATTGTCGTAAGGTCTGTCTACTTGTGAGATGGTCTCTTAAAAGTTGCTCACGTACGGCGAGAATGTGTTAGTATTTCCGACAACCGAAAACGTGTATGATAGTGAAGTCAATAAATTTGTTGATGACATATTTAAAATCGGCTACAGTGACTTGCCTTAGTTGTCTCTTCATTGTACATTATTTTCTGGAGTTGCATCTTGGTATTAAACGCTGTGACGAGTTTAAAAAGGTCATTACAAGTAACTGACGTTAAATCGTTAGTAGCGAATTTTTCGGGTGGGGACCTAAAGATGGTCAAATCAAATGACTTGGGACATTATCAGATATGGTTTAACATTCTTTATAAAGAAGCCCATTTTAAATGGACGAAATTGACTTTGGTAGTCTTCATCATCGCACAGTATTTTATACCGAATACTTTTTTTGTTTATACGTTTGTTTCTATGACCTTTCTTTCTCTTATCACTTCATTCCACTGTGACATTTTTGGTGCTCTATGCCACAACAATTGTTTTGTGAATAACTGAGCATACCTAGGGAGTGATATAAAAGGAAGAACGGTGAAAAATGCTAAACATTTTACTTACTATTACATGGAGTTGTACCGATGAGATCAACACCATCGACTGAGTTTGTGAGAGATTGCACTTGAGACCTTGGCAACTGACATTTATAGCACTGATCTCGCCTTCTGAAGTTGTGACTAGAACACTAGATAAGAATTAACCAGTAGAAGGGTCGGATGAATTATTACTTTAGAAGTTATTCCCAGCACGATAAATTTAAATTTCGAAATAACTGTGAGATGAAATACTTAAATAATACCCACCCTTGAACAGATCCAGTCTCCGGTGGAGACTTCTGACAACGCAGGAGGACGAGTCATAAAGCTTGACGGACCAAGTAACCCGGGGGCATCTCCAGAATGATGTATCAGTGAATCAAGCTGGTTTCGAGGAGTGCTGTACATCAGTCGTATTTCATAGCGTCGCACACGAAATATACCCTAAATAAAGAGGGAAACACATTTATATAAGGCTCTTTCATACAGATTAGGCCCATGATTCCAAACTATACGACAATTACGAGGTGAAGATAAGCATGTTTAGGAAACTTGACAAAGATAACCTGTACTGTGAATGCATTACTTTTTGATGGTCCATCCAACGTCTTGCTTCATGGACAGAAGCGAAATCCACAAAACCGAAGCCCTTCGATATACCTGCGAACAGATTTGAATAAGACAGGAATAAAGCAACTGCAGAGAAAAATTCTTAATCGACAAAATTCACTATTAGGAATGCGATTTACAGGTCCCGACTCGAAAAACTGGGAAGTTCGGCAAAGAAACGGTGCAGAATAGCCTTTTCCACATAATCTAGGTTCAATTTGCAAACGGTAAATGCACTAAACAAAGTTTGAAATTTATTGTGCCTAAGTGATTACATGAACTATCTTCACGTTAAAGCTTTGGGTTTAATCGTTACAACAGTTGAATATCTACGAGTTACGAAATAAACTCTCCTTTCCTTACTTTTTACTGTGATGGATTATTTAAAGCCAACACTTGGAGACCTGAGCGCAGAAGCTTGTATATTTTTTTCAAACACTATACACATGAGGACAACACTCATAACGCATAACATTCAAAAATTTTGACGTTGGAGAAAATATTAACCTTCAAGATTAGACTTTAACGAAACCATCTTATTTATTTTAAGACATAAATATTGGTATAAGGGGGCACCAAATGTATGTGCGCCACACTTAGTAGTATTATAAGAATGAAGACCTGTCCCCAAATGCCCTGGTACGGCCGAGAGTGGAGGCGGGGTCACCCTCCCTCCCGAAATGCTCTAACAGCCACACGTATACAGCCTCTGCAAGAGGAGTCCTACTTACTGCCTTCTAGAGGCATCACTGGTGTTTACGAAATAGAGAAAACGAAGTGAATATCCGGAGCTTTAACCTGATTGGTGGACACGGAGAGTTTACCTGGGGGAGTTGGCAAACCCTGATTCTAAACCAATGGTGCACATGGGCTTCAGGATCCTGAGGAAACAAATGGCGTACGAACCAACTGTTGGTCACTAGCCACCATGAGACTGCATCTCCTCACGATGCTCCTCTTCCTTTGGGGTCAGACCTTTAGGTCAAAGGCTCGGGACGCGTCACTCTAAGAAAAGCACCTGTTTCGGTTTGGGCGCCTGGGCAGTACCACAGCCGTCACACAAATCGAATGAGACATCTCCTTCACGAAATATTTTACTCGCTTCAACGAAACCAAGTTCTTAATTTAGTTTCTTAGTTTAGAAATAAAAGCTTATGTTGACATCTTGGATATCATCGTGTAAATGACATCCAGTGCAGAACTAATAACTACATGGAACCCATGGTGCAAAATATTTTTGCCACTCAAAGATTGTGACGGACTTTGCTAACCAGTTCTTTTACATTAGAATCATCACTGTTGATTTTACACTTTTCGGGATTAATGACTAATTTCACCAGAATATATGGATGTGTCACGAGAATATAAGTGAAACCTAAACAGTAACAAGAAGCAGACGTATGATTAGCTAAGACCAATAGCTAGGAGTATTATAAGAATGGAGATCAAACAAGATACTAAGAAAACCAATCTAGTGGTCAGATATACGTCCACACAATAGGGATCTTTAGAGGACTAGATATAATGAAGAACTTGTAAAGTATTGTTAGGAAGTTCAATGAGTTGATGACAGTTAAAAACGTTGTTGCATATAACGATACACAGACAATCCAGAAAAAGACGTATCCTCAGAATATTATTTTCCACTTGGGAATACGAATAATTTAATCAATTATTAGTAACGTAAAAATGAAAGCAAGTTTATAATTAACAAACAACTATTATATCCAATAATTTCCTGAAGCGGGAAGGAAATAAATACATACCCGTTGTTTTATCCTTGATTACACGAACGTCTAAGTAACTCACGCGAGCATCATCAAGAGCGTCACGAATCTATAAATAAATCGAGTTAATACAATACGTACATCACGATGATCAAGGGAAGTGGGAATCCCACGCAGCATAATAGTTGGTGATGCATCGTCGAACTGAAAGGATTAATTTTAATAGACGATCTTACTTCATCATCACGCTTTTCTTTAGGGTTGCTATAGTTAAGTCTAATTATCGTTTTTCGGACCTCAATTTCTCCCTAGACAATACACAGCTTGAAAATCTGAACCATACCTGGCAATCTCGCATAAACTGTTTAGCATCATTTGCTGATACAAAATCAACAAATCCAATCCATCTACCAGTTTTTTTGTCACGAACAAGACGTACATCAGTGTAATTTGCGTGTTCACTATCAAGTGTACGTCGAACCTTAAACAATAAAACTCTAGTAAATCTGCACTCACATCGCGTTCCGTTGTTGACGAAGTCAAACCACGCAGCATAATCGTTGGGGTAGGTATATCCTGTAAAAAATTAAAAAAAACACTGCAACGAACCATTTCAAAAGTTCTCAAAACAAGGAAGTGAGTTTATTGCAAGGGCTTTTGTGCAGTAATGAGAACAGGTTGAGATATTATGAGTAGTATCAATTTTTCAGCGTCAATGTTCGAAAATCTGAAGAGCTTGATTGCTGAATACGAAAATCGGGGTACTGGAAGAGGTTAACCAGTACGGTATAGGAGCATCACCAACTATTTCGGCAGAACAACAGGCCCGCACTTCACAAGACTAAACTGGAGCGGTTTGTACTAACCGCGCTTAAGTATTCAAGCGTGCCACTGATTAAAACAAAATTAACTTGCTACTCATAATAGGACTAGCAGACTCGTGTCCAGGCCATAAAATTCGGTGAGTAAAGTCACATTGATCCTGATTCATCTATAACTGCTACACTGGTTTACCTCAACGTGGCCATGTAGCGAGGTGTTATCGAACCTCATGGAGGAAATGCATGGGAAAACCATGTTGAAGAAAGACGAATATTACCCCAAACAAGCATATTTCACTCTAATGCTGCTGTTGTGTAACGTTGCTACTGAAAGGCCTATGGGCTAAGTTATACCGATTCTTATCATCCTAATAGTTAGTTCTATTTTTCCTACTTTGACGAACTTGTGGTGTTTGTGTGAACTAATGATTCCTTGGTGCTTGATGAATGCTAGATATTGGATTCCAAATACAATACATTCGTCCGTGCTCATCTTGTACTTTTTGTTTAAATTCAGTTATTTCTGAGATTCATGATTTGTACAATAATTCAGTACTACTAGTCATCACGCAACTGCTATTCTTTTTCAGCTTTGAAACAAAAGCGATGGCCCAAAATTGGCGTTACAGTTTACACTTAGCTTTTTGGCTTTGATTTTTGATTGAGTTGATTGATTTTCAGTAGTCCGTCATGTCCGTTCAAGTGTGCCTGTTCGTTTGTAGGGAACTTTAAATAAACGCATTCCGAAATTCATACTTAAAAGTTACCAACCGCCACAATCTTTGGACTACACCTTGGGGGCCGAGAAACTCCCCACCATGGTTCGGTAGGAAGGTTCGCATCCTTCTCCGTAAAAGAAGGAAAATGTGTGATAGATTTAGGTTATTGGAGGCAAAATATCAGTAACAAAAAGCTCGGAATACCTGTCCTTCGACCCTCCGTAAGTCTAGAAAGCTCTATGAAGATAAAATTGTTAAGGAATACATGGAATGCCCTAAACGCTTGTATTCGTATATAAACCAAAGGACAAAAAGAAGAAATGTTCCTTCACTATGGGGAGACAGTACTGCCTCATCACTAGTGGAGGACGACTTTGGCAAAGCCCAAGTATTCTTCAAGTATTTTTCCATTGTATATACCATACAAACACCCTTCACACCAGCCCCCCAACAAAAACACTAGACAGCGTGACAATTAAAGAACTCGATGTCTTTGGTCTGCTAATTAAACATAGGCAAATCCACGGGACCCGATGAACTGCATCCTAGGTTACTAAAGGAATTAGCTAACTTTGTTGCGAACCCTTTAAGTATCTATCCGTAACCCAGGGTCGTCTACAAAAGACATAGTAAGTCCTGTCTTCAAAACAGGTACAAAAGATTAGCCTAACTAGTGTGGTTGTCAAAATCTTAGAAAAGATTATTCGGAAGGAGTTGTTTAAGTATCTCGATGAAAACGGGATCCTTTCGGAGAAGCAGAATGGTTTTAGAACAGGTTATTCTTGTCCCACCAACTTATTAGTCGCTCGTGAAAAGCTGTCGCGCTCTTGAGGACAAAAAGTTACCTATAGACGTAGCATACGTCGAATTCAGCAAAGCTTTTGACAAAGTTCCACACAACCGGCTGTTATATAAGCTAAGGAATGTCGGGATTGGAGGCAATCTATTGATGTGGATAAACGACTTCCTAGTTGGTCGTCAACAAAGAGTATGGGTGAACTTCATGTTGTCTAGCTGGGAAACTGTGCTTAGTGGAGTCCCCCGGGGTACAGTTTTGGGACCAGTGTTATTCCTCTTGTACGTAAACGACCTCCCCCGTCTACTATCGTCATCAGTCTTGTTATATGCTAACGGTGTTAAGATATGGAGAGCGATACAAACTAAGGGTGATAGCTTAGAACTGTAAAACGACCTGGAGAAATTATCTGAATGGTCCCAAACCTGGCAATTGCCGATAAATACTTCCAAGTGTATTGTGATGCATATTGGCCACCAGGGTAGGGATACATACACGATGAATAATACTGAGCTACCTATTGTCCAGACACGCAATGACTTAGGAGTTACCGTTAGTCAAGACTTAAAGACTACTGCACACTGCCGTGCAATAGCTGCCAAAGTTTTTAGATCTTTATGGTCCATACGCAGGGCTTTTAGTTATCTTGACGCTAAAACGTTACTGACTTTGTATACAGTGTTCGTGCTTCCTAAACTTCAGTACTGCATACAAGAAGCTAGCCCCTGCATAAAAAAGACAGTGAGTTCTTGGAAAAGGTTCAGAGAACAGCAACTAATCTGATTCCCGGAATAGCGAAGCTCCCATATGATACCAGACTGACTAAGCTAGACCTATTCCCGCTGTCACATAAAATAATCAGAGTTGACTTGATTTCAGTTCTCAAATTGCGTAGTGATCAATTTGCACCTGATATGCCCTCATTTTCCTTGTCTTCCAAAACAGAAAATTTATATATATATATATATATATATATTAAGGTAATTTAATTCACCACCACATACAGTAGTTACAAACATTCAAAATAAAATTGGATTGGATGAACACAACTGAACTGGAATAGCAGTAGTATTGAATTAACACCAGAAACAGACCTTTTCGTAACTGAATTGGATTTATATTAACACTGCCACTCAGAGTCATCAGAGATTCTTTTGTAATAGGAACAACACCAACAATAGAATAATCGGCAATTATATTATGGTGAAAAAGTCCTTGAGTGTATTAGACTGGTATAATCTACACTCTACGGAAATGAATACAAACTGTCTAGAGTGTCAATTATTCAGATCGTTTCAAGTATTAATGGATCAATGTGGTAGTAGAACACGATCGACGAATAAATAGATAGAACGCCAAATAAAAGGGCTAGTGGGAGGATTCACATATAAGACACTCGAGTTAGTCAAGCAACTTACACACAATTTAACCAATATAGCTGAACTGACGGATTCGAACACCATACGCTCAGTTGATCAACGCAGTCAAAAATGAATATACAACTGTTTTTTAGCATGTCTGTTTCATACACCGTGGGGGGCAATGCTAAAGAGTTATCAGCAGAACGAAATCTATATCAGCTTCCCTGTTGGATGCAGATATAATGGACAATATATTGAAAAAAGAAGCAATATGATATGTTAATATCTAATTATTTGCATATCCAAAAGTTTACAGAAAAAAGAGGTTTGGGAATGTAAGCAGTTGACGATAGCAAGGAGGAAAGTCGAGAACGGTTAAATCTTACAGCCTGCTAGGTGGGCTCTTAATATTCTGTTTGCGACAACCAACTCTGGTTATATTTAAAACTGTTTGGAAGGAATAGTGGGTGTCAATCGCCCAAAAATATCACGAAACATGAGTAAAAATCTGATCCATCGTATGGTGAGAGTTTGGTGACAAAACGCCCCCAGTAATGTTTAAAATTCATGATAAAACTGACAATTTACACCCATGAAATTTCTCTTCAAGAGCACTGATTATCGAGAGGGGAGTTATCATTGGTGAATTATTCTGCCTTATGTATTTCCCAAACATACTTGTTGTCTTGTTGTTCACAATGTGACGCTGATTTCGTGATCAAGTTACATACCTGGTGCGTAGTCTAATAAACTTGTCGCAGTCACGGTTGTTGTTTATTGCGCATCTTCGGTCGGTAACAAGTTTACTTAGCGTTCTGAGCTACAATACAACTGTTTCAATCACAACAGTCATCTATTTGATCAGACTATTGGTACCTAAGCATAGATAAAATATATACAAAATAGATCAAAAACGAGAGATGATATTATGCCAACAAACAATAAGGTGAGTCAACCAACCAATATACGTGAAATCAGGAATGAACAATCAATATATCTAAGCCCAAGATCAGTACAGTTGATAAAACAATATCTGGGACATCCTCGGAGTCATCATATGATAGCATAAGCAAATTAAAAGGGCCAAAACTATAAATGAAGAAGCAATAACTGTAGATGGTAAATGATTTAGAGTAAAAAACCCTCGTGGACTGAATCGCAAAGTATTTGCGGACATTACTGCCTTAAAACGTGCAAGCAACGTATAATCACAATTGATTGATCACTGGGTGGTGATCAATGTCATGCGTGTCAGGTCCTTCTTAGTGCTGATCGAATGCTATCGATCGAGTTGCAATGTGACCACCAGTCTAGGTGGCCCTACACTGCGTGCACTATATATATTGAGGTAAGATGGTGGTTGGAGGTGGTCAACAGGAAACCCTGGACCCGGGTTTCGTGCTACGTGGCACTCGTCAGCAAGGTGTACCTGTAATCTTGAGGGAACTATGCCCCCTGGCGGATTCGATCCCGTGTCACTCAGCTTCACAGTCAGAGACGTTACCACTGAGCTATTTGGGCCACGACCAACCTCCTGTAGGACTGAGCTGACAAGTACCAAG